TGTCCAGTGAATAAAGCTATTAGTGCTAAGCAATTCATGTGGTTAGAGGTTGAAGTACAAATGTCATGTGAAATTCAGCTCAAAACAAAAAGAATCTTGTCCGCGGTTTAGATTACTCTTTGTTCTAAGCAGAACAGCACCCAGCTTTCTTTACTTCAGAAACATCATCCTTACCTCCTACATTAATCGTCTGCCCCTTGGGAAGTGCTGCCGGGTCATCTCCTACTTCAAGAGCTTTCCTGCTAACAACGCGGTGTATTTGAGTGAGCACTTCTGTGAAGGCACTTTCAACGTTCATGGACTCCAAAGCAGATGTTTCCATGAAAAATGTACTTTCCTTCTCTGCAAATGCCTGGGCATCCTCAGTCGAAACAGCACGCAGATGACGCAAATCTGCCTTGTTACCCACCAGCATTATGACGATGCTAGAGTCGGTGTGATCTCGGAGCTCTTTTAACCATCTCTCTACATTCTCAAAAGTTACATGACGGGTGACATCATAGACAAGCAATGCTCCAACAGCTCCTCGATAGTAGGCACTTGTGATTGCACGATATCTTAAGCAAAGAGCACAATTGAGAAAATTAATATGATACAACGCATCAAATCAAAACATTTCCATACTGGAAAATAAGATACGCAGTGACATGAAAATCGTACCAGGAAAAAGAAGATGAACACAAAATATTTATAGGACCTTAAGACTGTTAAAGTTTATATAAGCATGGGAAAGTCAAGGCTGGAAAACTAATACAACAATAGTTAGGAGAAGAAAGTCAAGGCTGGAAAACTAATACAACAATAGATAGGAGAAGAAAGTCAAGGCTGGAAAACTAATACAACAATAGATAGGAGAAGAAAGTCAAGGCTGGAAAACTAATACAACAATAGATAGGAGAAGATAAGGAATGAAAAGAGTCTCGTAGTAGTTAGTACACCAAACTTATTCATAACAAGAACATGATCACATCTCATTTCGGACTTTAAAATGAACAAAGACTAAATCATTTCAAATATCAATGTTACCCTAATGAATGCAAATTAGGAAAAAAACATTGCATCTTAAATCCATGATAAAAAATGTGAACACTAACTTAATTATGCAGACTAGATCCCCAGGGAGTAGTAGGGTGGCAGTAATTTTATTTTATTTTTGAAAATGTGTAGGGTGGCAGTAATTTTAAACTCAAAAAAGTTCATTATTGTAGCCTTGATCATCCTAGTTGATCCCCTGGATCTTTTGTTTGAGGAAAACAACATGAAAGCCATCAAACTACAGCAATGTTCAAGTTGATATGATGCTCAGAGTTTAGCAAAGTCAATATTTCTTTAAGCTTAAAACTCATATGGGAAAGACACTTGCAACGCTTAGCCACCAAAGCAGATGCCAATGTATGACACTTTAGATACGACCAGCTTCAGACTATAGTTGTTTTTTATAAGTAATAATCTTAAGCCTATTGTTATTCTTTTTAGCTTTCCAGCGTCGCCCATTTCTAGATCAGCTAACTGAAAACCCTCTACGATGGGTATCATTGGAGGGGGCAGTAGAATACTGTAAAAGGGAGATTTGAGAAGGAGCGCCAAACACAGCTTGAACTCCTTTCTAGCCTGGATCTACAGTTCACTTGTGAAGTGCTCTCAGTGACAATTGGGGGGGGATAACTTGTTCAGGACAAGAAATATGGAGAAACCGGTCTTTGATTTCTGAGGGCAGTCTGTCCAATTCTCTTGCCCTCCGATTACGAATTGGTGCAAGAACAACAAAAGGCAGTGGCTTTTCCTATGAGAATGACTATGATCTCCAAAAAATTATTCAGACAGCAAATTCCTAGCAGTTCCGCACTTCCTACTCTAACAATCTTAGAGTTTTTACAGTTCAGTGTAATCAACACACAAATTAGAAATTGACATATTTTTGCAAAATATTTAGGTGGCATTCGTTTCAACAAAAATATTTTGCCAAACCTGAAAGAAATTTTCTTTCAACCAATGGCAATCAGAGAACATTTCAACATTTTCTGAAACAATTGTACTCGGAAACAGCCTCTCTGCCTCACAAGGAAGGGGTAACGTCTGTGTACACTATCCTCACCCGACCCTACTTTATGCAATTACACCGAGTATGTCATTGTTGTTGTCCTACTGGTACAGTTTGTACTCATAAGTAAACCTAACGAAGGTATCAGACCTGACTTTACCACAAAAACTATACTACATAACGTCGATTATTGCAAATCAATTTTGTATCAGCATTTCAGATCCCAAATGTTAACACATTATTCTAATTTCTACCGCAAATGCTAATCTATCCAACATAGAAGCAAAAATTTAGAATTGAGTAATGAAAAAATGGAGATACCGTTCCTGACCGGCAGTATCCCAAATCTGAGCCTTGACGACCTTATCATCAACACGAATGCTACGAGTAGCGAATTCAACACCGATCGTTGACTTTGACTCTAGACTGAACTCGTTACGTGTAAATCTGGATAGAAGATTAGATTTTCCGACGCCGGAATCGCCGATCAACACCACCTTGAACAAATAATCGTAATCGTCGTCCGATCTGTACGCCCCCATTACTGGTGGTCTCTCAATACGTTTATATGTATGTATAGAGAGAGAAAATGAAGAAAAAGAGAGATGAAGAATTTGAGAAGAAGATGCAGAAATTGGGGGAGGGGGGTGGGGTGGTGCAGGGAGAAAGAAGGACTTTTATAAATAACCAATTATAGGACTTCTATTTAAGTTATAGCCATTTTGATCAATTTCAAACAAACAAATTTGGAATTTAGACATATATATATTTTAGTTTATTTGAATACATTTTTACATTAGGTTTAGGCTATATATAATTGAAAATTTAACCATTTTGGTATGATATTTAGGTCATATTTAATCGATGTTTAATTATTTTTTACGTGAAGTTTAGATCTTATATAACTAAAACTTCAGACATTTGTAGAATTAAACTTGTGCTATAGGACGATTTTGAATTGGTTGTTTTGTGCTTGAGAAATGTTGGTCATTGTTAAAGCAATATAAAGGAGCTATAATATAAAGGGAAAAAATATGAACAAAATAATCAATGTGTTATATATGTATCATAATCTAAATTTCTCAAAAGCACACATTGTAGCAATTCTTTTGCATTGTTCAAGTGATGGATGTCAATTATGGATGATGTTATAATTGTTCAAATATCTATGCGACGAAATTGACCTAGAAGGTCAATCCCTGTGATAACAGACAAAGGATAATTTCAAATTCGAGACTTTCAATTATAGAGATTTCAATCCAAATCATCTAAGCTGCCCTGAACGTCAACCCTTGTGACAACAGACAAAGGTTTTCGAACTTGAATTTCTATTATGAAGATTTCAAATCAAACCATCTGAGTTACCTAAAGGATAAAATTGAGATTCTTTTAAGGTGCCATTTGTTTAATTTGATTCCACTTTATACTCCAAAGTCCAATCAAACTCGTAGTTACTTCACTCCTTATAAAAACAATGGACCAAATGAGACAACTTTAATATATGTATAACTAAGTCCATCAATTGGTAGTTTTTTTTCTTTCTACAAGTACTCATTAGTTAAAAACAACTAGCTAGCTAGTGTCAAAAAATATGTACAAGTTGTAACATTGTATATACTATTATAAACTCCAAAGCACTGATGCTAAATGAACTATTTTGTAATCAACCCCATTTGAGAAATTATACCTAGTATGTTATTGTTGATGTTATTTATATGAATCATGACAAGTTTGAACAAAACTCTTTTAAGCTTGATTTCTGTAAAAAATTCGATAATTTAATTTGTGCAAAATCAACATACAAGTCGATAGTTAAAATGCATTGTATAACTCAACTTGTGCAAAATCAACTTGTATCCAATTCTTTGCAGTGTATAACTCAGACTGTTAGCTGTGAAATGAGTATTACATGCATACCTACAAATTATTCAGATTTTTTGGGGGGTTTTTCTTATCTGGCCTTCGGTATTTATATTGGAGTCCGTTAATATGAATTCACACCATGCAATTAGATCCATTTCGAGAAAATACTCCTTGTCATTTTTTTATAGCCATGACTCGAAACTAAAATTTCTATTAAGAGAGAAATTAAATGGTCTCATTCACTGCATTATCATATCTATTGTTCGTACCAATTATTTTAGACTTGATATACATATATATTCACTAATTTCTTTTAAAGATCATTTGGTATAAGATATAAGAATAGTACCCCTTATTGTTATTAATGCCACTATTTACTATGTATAAGGATAATATTAGATGGGGTGTATAACTAATAATATAGATTGAAAATACTGTCAAGCAAGAAATTAAATAATATTAAACCCATTTTAATCCTATATTGCTATTTTTCGTTTATTTTTCTAGTTACGTAGTACTATTTTGCATGCAACATATATTTAAGGACATTTACTCTTTTTGTATCGACAAGAAATTAAACCTACTTTAATTCTATTGCTATTTTTCGTTTGTTTGGTAGAAAAATTAACTCATTCTAGGGTATTTTCTTGATGTATCACTATTTTTTATTTATGAGGAGAAACGTCAAACTTTTAACAAAATTTTCTACTTAGGTTAAAGCGTATAAGCTAGTGATATTTTTGATTACTGAACTTTTGTCATTTAGGTTGCAATGTTCAGGTTGCTTTGCCTATCAATGCTTGTTGCATATTTATTATTTAGTGTTCAAAATTTTTATTAAGATATTCTCCAATTTGTTAACATTATAATTATTTTGACATATATATACCGAAATAAACAAAAAAAAAATATGCTTCATGGAATCAACACTTAATTTTTTGCAATTCTCTCTTGACAATTAGTGAAAATCAATTACAATTTCCTTCTTTCATACATCCAAATAAAAATTTCCACTATTACCCTTTCAATAATACATTATTTCTTGTATGTGGTTGAAGGAATTAAAATGAATTAAACATAAAAAATAAAAAAATAAAAACATTGACTAAATAGTAAAATAAGATTTTTATGGTCCCAGAAAATATGAGAGATCGATTCAGTGATCTTATCTTGTCAGATAAAGGAGATTTTCCCACATGAATTTTGCTAAATGCCATCAGATAGTCTAGCTTTCCTGCACATTAAACAGCTAATTTAAGATTATCAGATTCAAAAGTGCTTTTTTTTATTTTCTTACACGATATGTCAAGTTGAAACATGATAAATAAATTAAAACGAAGGAAGTACCTAATTGACACTAAGTTGTACTTTGATCTCAGGAGGAGTATTAGTTGAATCAGCAAGTGGTGTAGTGTTGTTGTCCATTTGCTGCTTCATGTTCTGTTGGTAATAAATTTGCCTCAACCTCTCTATTTCCACTTTCAATGCTTCTTGATGAGCTATATACATGCATATAATAGTGAACATCAATTCATCGGAATGCACGTGCACTCGTTAACTTCGAGAAAAATCATATATATATATATATATATATGCATATAGTAAAGAGTGCATCTTCAGAAGGCATAGGATTGCATTTGGTCTGCTGGTAGAATACAAGAATTAAGGGATTCCACCCTTTTTGTAATGTATGGGAAGATCTCGGACTCGTTTGACTATATGATTTTTTCTTTAAAATGAGAAAAATGACATTCTTAATGGATATAGAATCTTGACTCGTAGTTTAATCTCTTTACATGCATATTGAATCGGGACTCGTAGTTTAATTATTGATGCATATCAGAAACAATGGAGGCACCACATATATCGCAGATGATCAATTAAACATCTTTCATCAAAATTATATTATATATAGATTGTAAATTATAAATTTCTGACGTCAGCACTAATCGGACAAACTAAAAATAACCAGCTAATAGACACAAATATGAAAGATTATGATTATGAGGTTTAAAAAAAAAACAACTTACCATCTTTAAACAATTTATCTTGGGCTAGAGCTGCAATTTTTTGCCTGAGGGCACTATTGTCAACATTTAGCAATAAACGTTGATGGTCCAAAAATGCAACTCTTGGTGATAGAACAGAAACTTCAGCCTTCAATAAATCAAACAAGAAAATAAGAGAGGTACGCGTAATATTTTATTTGAATTTAAAATATTTCCAAAGAAAGAAATAATAAATTAATATTAAGAGAAATTTAAGATAAAATTATTTGATAAATAATTTCACATACTTGAAGAGTGCTAACACTACGTTCGAGCTCCGATACGTACTGTAGTTTCCTCACCCTCGACCTTTGCGCTGATTGTCTATTTGCCAGTATCCTGTCATAATTACCGCTCATTCAGTCTTCTCATATTTCTTAAACTTCGTATCCAGTCATAATCACGATTCCATCAAGTATATAATTAGTACCTTTTAATTCTCTTGGGATCAACAACTCTTTCAGAAGAATATTCAATATTGTTAGTACTTGCATTTTGATTAGCTGTGGCTAATTCCTCATTAGTCTTGCATGAGCTTTCAACTTCCTCATTTTGATCACTCTTAAGCTGCATCATCATCTGATCAGGGCCGTTCATCTTTTTATCTTCATTAACGTTGATGTAATCGGACGGCGATGACGGGTTGGAACACGACATGTCGTGGACGTCGTCGTTAAACATGGACATGATCTGTTGTTCGTCTTCGAATCTCTCGAATTCCTCGTGACCGTTAGTGGTCCCACCGGATCCCGGAGTAGTACTGGATAGCCTCCGGCATTCTTCGACCATGGGCGACTCCAAAAAAGCAATGGAGTCACTCATTGATCTCCGGTGGGACCCACGCCTCGACGACATGTCGAGGAATTCGTCCGCCCATAAATTATGAGCGGACGGAGCTAAGTTATCCATTTTTTGATGAAGCGAAAAATCAGGCCAATTTTGTGTCATGTTAGGCGCCCTTGGTGGTAAGTGTGCCATTTTTCTTGTTTTTTTTATCAAAATTGATGGAATTTCAAGAAAATTACAATTTACTTTACACCAATAAATAAAGAAAAAGTCATTCAAACATACCTCTAAGTTGTTGATCGAAATGAAATTAGATATATCGAGTTTAGATACTTGCCTGAAGGAAGGAAGGGCTATCTGATCCGATCAGAGAAACTCAAAGGCTAAATGTAAGGGTGTTTTTACAAAGTGATGAAGTGAAAGAAAAGATAAAGATTTTAGAAGAGAACATACACATGACATTGTCTTATGAGCTATCAATGTCTATAAGTTTGAATATTTGTCTCATTAAGAAGCAAAGAAAATTAAAATTTGTCTACAATATGATAAATTGACAAATTAAAGAGGGGGGTATTAAGAAGGTATCACATGGGGAGATTGTTAGGACAGCTATCAAACAGCTGGTAGGAAGTTTGGAGTCTTAACTGTATTACTAGAAAGTAGCAAATAGTTTAATAATATAGAGGACTTAAACCACATGTACCCTTGTGCTCATCACTCATCATCTAAAGCATTTTTCTAGTTGACATAAATTATTGTCCGGTGTTTGATTAGATATGAAATTTAAGAAATGTAAATTATTTTTTACACATATTAGATGATTTGAAATTTATAATGGTTTAATATAAAGTCGTTTTGTTAAATTTGTCAGGATATTTAAGTTAGATATTCAAACTCAGTTATGTTCAATTGAATACCTTAATTCTTCTGAAGAGCTGCTCGAAAGCTTGACGAAGAAGCGAAAAAAAGCCTATCTATTCTATTTTCTTAGTTTAGTAAAGGGCTTTTCCCTTACTGGTCAAGTGGTAAGGTAGGACGCTCTAAAAAAATTCAATTAGACACTTTCGATTTTGAGAAAAAAAATTGCGCGTGTTTTTATTCAGCTATTAAGTATTTAAGTTAATTATATATATAGATATATATATATAAAGTGTGTTATCTTCCTTTAGTTATGTGTGTCAAGTTCAAATAGAAAATGTTTGAGTTTTTACGACTATTGAAAGTGAATGTGTATGATTAAATGAAATATAATTGTGGAAATGTATTTTACCCTGTTTTATAGCAGATTTTTATCATATAAAAGATAGGTATTCTATTTTCTTTCTGTACAAGAACTTGTTAAGGAGTTAAGGGTATTTAGTCCTACTCCTAATGTAAATATTTTTGGTATAAATATAAGGGACAAATCACCAAATCGGTGAAGATGCATATAAAAAAAACATATTTTATGTAGTTAATTTAATTAATTGATAAATAAATGAGAATACACATAAAATGATTTTCAAATTTTAAACTAGAAATATCTAATTTGAACACTTTAATAGGAATTGAGATATTCAATTAAAACATACAGTTTAATTCTGATAAATTTAAGAGACTGATTATATATTAACCAATACATCTTAATTAATTATAGAAGGGTCATCGACTCTTGATAACCTAAACAAAAATGTATGTACATATGAATATAATTTTTCTAACGGATTAAAAAGAAAAAGAGTGTCGATAAAGAAATTAGAAGAGAGGAAGAACCAATTATGTCACCCTCGTTAACATGCATAATTATGATTAAGAGGAATTGAGAAAGAACATTCCTCTACATACTCTTTTTTCAAGCATAGCTGTCATGCACGTGCTATTGAGCACCGCTTGATCAATGAAAATTTTTAGAACGGCTCGATTTAATCGAACTCATAACTTATAATGTGGTTCCTCTTATATCCGTTTGTCCATTCATATCTTAGATAGCCGGTTCGGGATACTAATATTCTTCGCTTATAAATATACAGATAGGAGCGAGTCCATTTAACTCGCATCAATAAAAGGGATTTTATTTAATTTTAAGAAAAAGATAGTTTGAATCCGATCTAATATAGAGAGTTTTTTCTTTAGTTAAGTATTATAAGATTAAATCCTTAATTATGAGTAAGATAAATCGAATTTCAACTAGAATAATTTATACATGCAAGAAGGAATAATTAATTTATCACTTAACGTGAGTATCTACTCTATATGTTCGATATGTTCGGGAACATTAATTTTTTATTATTATTTTTAAAATGATATAAAAATATAAGCAAAGTAATGGAATATTAATGTGGAAGATGAGCTGTGGAATGTGGAAGAAGATATTATGTCTTGCCATGTGAATGTTTTATGCATTTTTTCTCACTTTGTCTCTAAACTAACTTCACATGTAGGCCAATATGTTTCTAATTCATTTCTTTATTTGTACCTTCCTCCCATATTCCCAATTAAAAACTAGTTGTCTTTTTTTATATATTTTTTTAATAATAAGAGGCACTAGTCATGAATCATGATAGTTAACAAGAGATTTATTAGTTTTCTTTTTAGGTGATTAACCTAATAGTTTATGAGTTTGAGTTTTTTTTTTTTTACGTATGGAATAAATTTCTTATTGAATCAAAATTATTGACTTCTGGAAAACTCGCTCCCTATTGTTAGATCTGTCGCCATTAATTGACCTTTAAGCAATGTACGCTAAAACACAAAGGGTAATATCTCATCCATATTGAATGTTTACGTTAAGCCAATCATTATACACTTATGTAATTATCATATGTTTGAATATAATTTTCTTATTTAACCATAATTTTTAATATATACTTTTTTAAATTAATATTAAGTCACTTATTTGTAATAAATTATATTGATTTGATGTAAATAATAACTCTGATCACTTTAGGAATAATGGACAAATGTGATAAGGGGTCCAGATATTGGTGAAATATATTTCATTACACATTTTATGTAAGATCAACATATTGTTACAATTTTACTAGTTTAAAAAAAAAAGGTTACAAATTAAAGGAAGGACAATGCTAAATATAAAATGGCTATATCCTTAATTGAAATATTTGTGCCTTGATCTCATTGTCAACCCAAAGAAATTCATTTCCTAATTAACCTCTGATGTTATTTTTGCTTAGACGTGATAAGATTAGTTCGTGAAAATATTTTTTATCTGATTTAATCTAGTAATCTGCTCATTTATTATTTTAGGTGTCTGTCCATCTTAGTTTGATCATTTAATCTTATTGTTCAAGCCATCTAAAAGTTGAAGTTCTTTGGACTATAATATATAATTATAGAATGTATGCTCCAGGAGGCAATACTTCAATCTATTATGGAAAAAAAAATGCAAACGCAAAATATGAGGGACAAAAATTAAAGACTATCCTATTTTAAGATAATTTCGTGCAATATTTTGTACAAAATTGAAAAAAACTTTCTAATCAGACATACTTCACTATCATATATACTATTACTATATATACTTATAAAATATTATGTATCTTACCATTAATTAAGAGTTTTCTACGTATCTTACACTTAAATACATGTATTTTTTCTATCAAATACACAAAAATAGGAGAGAGGCGAGCAAGAATGGGGAGGGAGGTGAGCGAGATTCGTATGTACCCCAGGTACAATATGCGAATCACACTGAATACACATTAGATACATGTATATGTTTGTATCTGTAGTGATTTGCATGTATTTAATACCAGATACATGGGAGAGTGGTGAGCAAGTTTTGATATGTATCCCAGATACATGCGAATCCACTTGGATACAATGTATGTGGAACAAATTACACCTTAATTTGACCCCCTGTATCTAAGATACATTTATCTGGACGTATCTGAAAGCACCAAAATCTGATAAGATACGTAATATTACAAACTAGACTTGAATATAAATAATTAGCTCCTACACTAATGAGATTTAGGAAAGTTCCCTATAAAATTTCATTCGGTTGACAGGTCTCATGCAAATGAGAACTTCTAACTAAGAATCTTTTTTTATAAAATAATTTACTAATTAATATATTAATTAACCAAGATTAGTCTGCAAATTTTAAAATAATTAACTTGTATCATGCACTTACTATTCATGTGATTTACCTATATACAACCCTATATATCAACCTATTGTCCTTTTTATTCTAATTCTTTAATTATGGCCATCTTTTCATGCTCTTGACTATAGGTACATTTTCTTCTTGCACCTTACAATAATTTACGTATATAAGTACTCTTTAATTCCCTTTTGTATTACTTTTCCAGCCAACAAAAATTAAAAACCATAGTACCTATTTTATTTTAATTTTTTGTTATAATTACTCTCTTTTTTATTGAACTTGAATTCGCGCTATATAAAAAATATGCAAAAACCTAGCGGAACAGCTGCATGCGCATCGTGCAAGCATCAAAGAAAGAAATGCACGGACAAGTGTGTACTAGCTCCTTATTTCCCCGCGGAGAAAATTCGCGAATTCAAGGCGGTACATAAGGTGTTTGGGGTCAGTAATATCACGAAAATCGTGAAAAATCTAAAAGAAGATGATCGGAGAAGGGCAATTGAATCGCTTATATGGGAAGCGTTTTGTAGGCAAAGAGATCCAATTTTAGGCCCATATGGAGAGTACAAAAGGGTTCATGAGGAACTCAAGTTGTACAAAAGTCAATACCAACAAATTTTACAAGCGGGGAGTAATAATAACAATACTGATAATAACGCTAACGGCATGATATATGATGCAACAACACAAGGGTTGATTAATGGATGGAATATTAATACTAAGAGGAATGATATTAATTATATAAATCATGATAATTCAAATGTGGAATCATGGTCATCTTATAATAATAAGATTAAAAATCCTTTACATCATGTCCAAAATATTGAAAAATTAAGAACAGAAAATAGTAATGGCTCTATAGTTATTGTGCCTCAACAACAAGTCTATAATGAATTCAACCAGCAATATTTTCTAACAGGTAGAATATATTCCTAGCAACATATTTTTTTTTCTTTAAAAATTAAAAAAAATAACTTTTATGGACCAATATATAGTGTTAAAGATTTTTATACTATCAGTATATATTAAATAAGTTTTCTAGGTACGTACGTAGTTACTGTAACTGATTTTTACTTCTTCGTTTTAT